TTGTGAACTTACAAAAAAGTTGTGGGTTTCATAGGAAGACTCTCCCCAAGATCTTATCAGTCTAAAATAAGCTCAAATTTATCGAATAAGTGAATCTCGTCCGTCTTGGTTTACCAGCCGAGAGGAGATAGATTTCACCACGAGCAGCTTTCTGGATTTTGAAGTCCTACACTTTGCTTCCAGGGAACGTACCCGAGGAACTGCTTGGTGTGAAGCTCAGGTACAACGCCCTCAAGAAATCATCAGCAGTGACGTCTTGATGTTGGATGAGTTAGAATGTTTTGTCTCGATGACGGCGTGGAACATGGGTACTCCTGTTAGAGATTTACAAAGGCCACACGCACCGTAAGGAATGTATGTGGCTTGGATTCTTGGGGGTGCGTTATGTTGTGTTGTGGCTGTCAGCTCGAGCAGTATATTGGCACATTGGCTGGTTGGCGAAGCAACAAAACATTCTGTGCCCCAAGAGCATGGCTTCGTGATTGCGCAAGTGAGTCATACTCCTACTTACTTACGAAAGCATAGGAGATACTACACATCAATGCACTTCTTACAGTCAACAGTCTTTGTAATAGGGTTGATAACTATTGCATAGCGTTTTATTATATAAGTTGATTACATTCAAAGTTACTTTTGGTGGTGTAAATTGGGATTGAAAACATGGGTTGATTTTAATCTATAATTGATTTTAACAAGGTTGATAATAACAAGGGCTGAATAAATAAATAAATAAAAATATACTGTGTTATTTAATACTTAATAATTTCATTTCTATTTTTTATTAACATGTAAACTAATATGGTGGTTTGGGACATATATATATATATATACACACATACACCCTTTAATGGATTGTAATTTTTGAAATAAAACTTTGCTTCTTAGAACTAATTTTTAAAAAACAACTAAAATTTGATTAATGATTTTTTAATTTTTCTTTTTATGTAGAGTAGATCATTTAACGTAATTGTAATGGAATTTGATATTATGTTATACAGAAGTATTAAATTTAAATAAAATTACTTAATTAGTTATAAATTCAATATTTAAAGGTCAGAGTCTTGTGGTATGTTAAGCCAAAAAGAAAAAGAAAATTTTGATTAAATGTTTTTTCATGCATAACATGTGAAAGAAATTGGTGATGTAATAAAAATTGCTAAATATATTGAAAAAATTACCAACTAATAAAGAATAAGGTACTAGAACAAATTTATTCTTCTTGGATCAAGTTTCAGATAAATGATGAAAAACTGAACATTAAAGAAGATGGAAAGTTTGTAATTATAAATGACTTTACATAAGATGAGATCTATAGATACAAAGGAATTTGAATATATCAAAACATGATAAAAAAAGGTTTATATATTAAAATCCCTATTTATAGTTATAATGTTTTTATATTATATATTGTTAATATACATATGTATAACAATTAATTTAAAAAAAAATAATATGTTAGTATAAATCTAACTCAATCCAAAAAAAAATAATCATGTTAATATGAAATAAATATTGTGAACAAAAAAACTATTATTAAAAACTATCTTATTTAATTTTATTAATTATTAATCCCAAATTTCTAATTAAAAGTATTATTATTATCACTTGATATTACATGATGTTATATTTATAAAACTTAAAAAAATAGTGATTAGAAATTTAATATTTAAGATGAATCAATTAATTTAAAATACAAAGATAGTATCTTAATGAATTCAAAGCAATCTAATAAATTTTCTTTTATCGGATATAAATCTAAGTTAAAAAATTATTTAAGTCTCATAAGTAATATGCTATATATTAATTGAAATGTTCAGAAATTTAATAAAATTTTCAAATTTTGAAAACCTAGTTACTAAAGAAACATTAATACATAAGATTGATAGATATAATAAATTTAAATATTTATTTAATCATATTCATACATAAATTTTTAGTTATAACAATAAAATCAATGTAAAATTCTAAAATTAAATAACCTTTATTTGCAATGTATTTTTAATAATTAATAGTTATATATATCAAAATTATAAATTAAAATTAAAGCTTGTGTAAAAACTAGTGATTTTTTATGAATATTAATTAATATTTTTTTTATTGAAATAGTATTTTGAAATAAAATATTTGTAATTTTTTAAAAGGTAATTGATATTGTTTAGAATTTTTATTTTATTTATTTATTTTTTGACTGTTTTATATGAAAATCAAATGTATATCTTTTAAATATATATATATATATATATATCCACACAAAAGAGAATTAAAAAAATAATATAAATTAATATTAAATAATATAAATATTTATGTCTTTTTAATCTATTAACCATAGATCAAATCTAGAAAAGAATATCCATGCTACTTGCATTAATAAATCAATTTTAGAATTGAAATATATTTATAATTTAATATAAATTAATATATATATATATCACAAAAAATTGTCTATCTGTGATGGCAAAGCTATTCAGTATATGAAACAGATTATAACATAATACATAATTTGTTATTATTATAATCTAGTTGGGTGTACATAATATCCTCCTACCTAGCTTCATCATATGAATACACCCAGCTAAATATGTTAATGATGGTATGAATACATAACATATATTATATACGTGATACTATAATACATAACAATAATATGTAATATAACATAACATAACATAACATAACATAAGATGACCATAATTAAGAGGTCATCCTTGACAAGAACACTGTTTGTTTATATGTCCTAGAAAAGGCAAAATATGGATAGAATTATATAGAGTGTCTGAGATATCCATGGAGAAGACTTGGCGAGACATCTTAGATCCTTAAAAAATATATATATATATATATATATATATATATATTCCAGCTGGATATATTAGGGATATATAGGCCATACTAAAAGTATTATATTTTTCTTATGTATAATGGAACATTAAATCAATTCACTTCAAACTTAAATCAACCCACATGTCTCTACTATGATCCTTGTATAATGCATAGGGCTTTGCATTCCTTAATTAAACTCTCAATTTTACACTTGATAATGTGCTAATTTTGCAAGGAGGTGAGAGGGATAGAAAATGGAGTTTTTATAGAGGATTGTATTGGAAGAACTAGAAAAAAGAGCATGCAAGATTAATAGCTTTATATTTGAGAAAAGTTGGTGAATTATAAAGAAGAATTGATAAGAGAGTCATAATAAGAAAAGAAGTTATTGAGAATGTCAAATAATGGAAATAATTAATAGACCTTTTTCATAGAGACAACAATTATATATACTATTAAAAGTGTATTGATTTAATATTTAGATGAATCAACTTAGTATTCCTATATATATATCTCATATAAATCCCAAATCTAGGATTAAAATGTGCCTACTATTATTCAAAATTTTAAAAGATAATTAGATTATATGTTTATATATATATATATATATATTCATACTATTATAGACATTCAACAAGAAGATTTTATAAATATTCTTAGAATATTCTATTAAGTTATAAGAAGTTTCAAAATATTTTCAAAAGATTCTTAAATTTTTTTTAGAAGGTTCTTAAAATATTCTAGCTTGTGCTAGAAAGTTCTAAGAGGATTAAAGAAGTCGTCCAAGAATCTTCTTATGATTGCTTCATCTTCAAGCAACATAGAAATTTCTTAAAGAGCTTCCTAAGGTTGCTTCATCTTTAAGCAATATGAAAACTTCTTGAGAAGCTTCTCAATACCTAGTACATATTAGAATTGAGACTAAAAGGATCTTTAGTCTTGATAATACATCTCTTGGAGCTTTAGTTTACTTCTCTAGGTATTGATCTTGTACTCATTTGGTTTAATCAAGTTTTTGTTAGCTTTCTTGTTAAAACTCTTCTATTCAACTTCTTGTTTGGTCTCTTATATAGGGTATCTATGATATATATATATATATATATATACATTTGTGCATCATAAGTGATGGTTTAAATAATACTTTAATTAATATTGTAACAATGTGTTTGATCAATCTATTTGTCTAGTTTTTGAAATGATTTTTTTATAAAAAAATAGTATTTTAATATTTTTTTAAAAAATATATTATTGAAATATTAAAATTTTTAATACTTTATTTAGGGAATACCTGGTCAAAGAGATTTTGTCAAATACATAACAATCTTTGATTTTCTTTAAGCAACAACAATTTTATGAATGCTTTAATTTTATAAATTAAATAATTTTAATAATTAATTTAAAAATATAAAAAGATCCTTGATATTTAACGATAATTTTACTTAAAATTTTTACGTACATATCTTGTATTTAAATGCACAAAATCAAAGATTGTGACAAAATAATATTACACACTATATTTTACTAACACTTGGATTATTGTATTAATCTTTTATTCTTAAGTTTTTACCAATAAAAAGAAACTAATATTTTTATAATCTTCACCTTGTAATTGTTTGCAACAATTACCTTATTGTTCATCATCCCTATCTATCTATCTATCTATCTATCTATCTATCTATCCATCTATTCATAAAATAAAACAAACTAAACATTTAAGCATAAATATTAAACTCTATTTTATGATTACACCCCAAAAATAATCCAATCAATTTACAAATATGAAGTAAATAGATAAACAAACATGCAGCATGTACAGTTATCTTTGGAAATTAATTATGAAAAATCATTACTTAAACCTTAACTTGAGACTTCAAATAAATGAGATTTTGAGCTCACTGCTTAATTTTCAATTTTCTTTTGAAACTTGCAATGAAATTTCAAGATGCAAGGTTTTGTTGGAGTGATTATGTAATAAAAAAAAGTTTAGGTGGGAGATTTTTATTGAAAATCATACCCTGACTTTTTTTCGCTAACGGGAACTACAGCTTTTTCGTTCCTGTTCGTCATTCGTCGTCGTTCTCGTCGTCAGAATATGCTGCAATCTCAACGTAGGAGATTTTTCCGTCGATCTGTTGGACGTCGGCGACGTTCCTTGTGTGCGTAGGCAGTGAAGAACTCTGGGGTGTGTGTGCGCGCTTGCGTGCGTGTAAGCACGGCCTTGGTTATGGGTGTTGCTGATCCACCTAGAGTAGCTGGTGACAGTGTTTTCACAGCCCAAGTGTTGTATGCTCGCTGACGACGGATGACAGTCCGTGACATGAGGAGGTCAGATTCTCAGCTGGTCGTCATATGAGGCTTCTCGACAGCGGGGTTTGCAAATCTAGTGGAGCTTTCGCATCGTGGTCTGAACTTAGGGTTTCGAATAACGAGGTATGTGTTGGAGTGAAAACCTACTTCTCTTGTCTTAATTTAACTGTTCAGTGAACTGCATGAACCTGAATGTGTTTGTACCTTGGCAGTCAAGTGTTGAGATTTCAGTGACGATGCAGAGGTTCTAGGGTAAGTGTTAGGCATCAGCGAAATACTGAGTTGAATCCATGTGAATAGGTTTTTTGTCGTAGTAAGGTTGGGATAGACGATGGATGTTAAGATTTCAGTCTGAGAAAATTCATTTCATCACGAGGTTTTCAGCTGCTAAGAATTTGGAAAATCTGCTCAGAAATTGAAAAAAAAAAAATGTCGAAGCGAAGGTTTGGATTTGAGGGTTTCGGAATAAACAAAAAGACGAACTACGACTTCGAGGCGCAACCTGCCAAGCCGCGTCTGTATTTGCCTTCTCCGCGGAACAGGCGATCTGAGTATGTTGAGGATCATGATTTGGATAATATTGGCTCAGAGGACGATGGGCGCGAATCCGAGAATTTTAGGAACAGGGTTCAATCCAAGGACTCGAGAAGCAGTCAAGGTGTGAGTGGATCGTTGAGCAAGGAGAAGGGAAAGAAGGATGAGTCATGGTTTGGGAGCGGCTATGATGACGATGATGAGGACGAAAATAATAATGCGGGGAGTGGCGCAGTGCCTGACAACGACGATGAAGTCGATCCACTTGATGCATTTATGGAAGGCATTCACGAGGAGGTTAGATTTTCTAACTTGTGCTTCCTTTGGAGTTTGATTCACGTTCATAGCAATGGATTTCTATCCAAAATTTTTCATGACCATTTGTCTGGGTCCCAGTGTTACTTCATCTACTAGCAGACCAGAGTTTATGGTGCATACTTGACCAAGTCGTAATTGCTATTCTGACTCTGGCATTGACCATCTATGATGCGAACGACAGCAAAGGTTTAGGTCAAACCGTGTTTACTTGTTATTCTTCATCTGAGTTTTATCCGTTGTATCACTCCATATGGTTTCACTGTGTCAATTTGGTAATAAATTTCTGAGTCTTTGAACCATTCGCTATTTAAAATCGATGATCTTCAATTATGGTACACTTGGTTTATTCTAATTGATAATTGTATTTCATTGCTTAAATTATTGATTAGTCGTTTAAATATTATACAAGTTGTCAGTGTAGTAACTTACTTTGAAGTACACTGTTGTGGTGAATGAATTGTAGATGTCTGATTTCCCAATCTGCTCAGAAGCAAAGAGAATTTATGAGATCTTAGTCTGAATTCTGTAGGTAAAGAAAGCACCCGTGAAGCCCAGACCTATAGTTGAAGAACTGGAGGACGATGAGGATGATCCAATGGAGAGTTTTCTCAAGGCTCGACGGGATGCAGGACTTTCATTGGCTGCTGAAGCCTTGCATGCTGGTTATGATACTGATGAGGAAGTTTATGCTGCTGCGAAGGCAGTCGATAATGGACAGATTGAGTACGACTCTGATGACAATGCGATTGTGACTTTGGAGAAAAAGAAAATTGAAGCTCTTGCTCCTCTAGACCACAATGACGTTGATTATGAAAAGTTTTCTAAGGATTTCTATGAAGAGTCAGATTCAATTTCAGGTAAGTTGTTTTCAATGTCATATCTTGTGCATTTACAAGATTTTACAATGTAACTTGAACGTTTAGACATGGCTTGTCAGTAGAATTTTCAGGATATAGATCCACAAACTTTCGCTGGAAACAGCTGTTCAGTTTTCCCTTTTCTTGTTTCTGAAATATTTCCCTGGATGCAGGTATGACTGAAGAGGAAGTTGCTGCCTATCGCAATTCACTAGCTATCAGAGTATCAGGATTTGACGTTTCTAGACCTGTCAAGACGTTTGAAGACCTAGGCTTCGACGCCTCCCTGATGGGTGCAATATCAAAACAGGGTTACGAAAGACCTACTCCAATCCAATGTCAGTCTTGTCCAATAGTTTTGTCGGGTCGAGATTTGATAGGAATTGCTAAGACAGGATCAGGAAAGACAGCAGCCTTTGTTCTGCCTATGATGGTACATATTATGGATCAACCAGAGCTTGGCAAGGGCGAAGGTCCAATTGGTGTTATTTGTGCACCAACACGTGAGCTTGCACAACAAATCTACTCGGAGGCTAAGAAATTCGCCAAGGTACATGGTATCAGAATTTCCGGAGTCTATGGTGGGATGTCAAAGTTTGAGCAATTTAAAGAACTGAAGGCTGGATGCGAGGTCGTGGTTGCTACTCCTGGACGCTTGATAGACATGATTAAGATGAAAGCGTTGTCAATGCATCGGGCAACATATCTCGTTCTCGATGAGGCCGATCGCATGTTCGATTTAGGTTTTGAACCTCAGATTCGATCTATTGTCGGTCAGATCAGACCTGACCGCCAGACGTTACTATTTTCTGCTACAATGCCGAAGCGAGTGGAGCGTCTTGCTCGTGAGATTTTGACAGATCCAATCAGGGTCACTGTTGGTGAAATTGGTAGTGCAAATGAAGATATCACTCAGGTCAGTAGTTCTTTCAAATGTCACATCTTTAAGTCATACCTGCTATTTATTAAGTACCTGCTTTGTTTATATTCCGTATTTTTTAGTATCTGATGGGTATACTTGATCATTATGTTAGACTTATCCATGATGTTCACCCAGATTTCCTAGTGCGCGAGTCCATGCGTGCGTGTGTTGTGTACACACACACACGCACAAACATGTACACAGATCACACTCATCTTTTTGTAATTTGGAACCTCAATTTCAGGTCGTCACTGTTCTGCCTTCCGACGCCGAGAAAACTCCTTGGTTGCTCGACAGGCTGCAACCCTTTGTAGATGATGGAGATGTTTTGGTATTTGCGTCCACTAAGTTAAGAGTGGAAGAGCTAGAGGGAAAGATTTCAGAGGCAGGATTTAAAGTCGCTGCTCTTCATGGAGACAAGGATCAAGCTACAAGAATGGAAGTCTTGCAGAAATTTAAAAATGGGATTTATCATATTCTTGTAGCAACTGACGTAGCGGCCCGCGGCTTAGACATTAAGTCCATCAAAACGGTTGTGAACGTTGATATTGCTAGAGATATGGACAGTCATGTGCATCGGATTGGACGCACAGGAAGAGCTGGTGACAAAGATGGGGTGGCTCATACACTTGTGACAGGAAAAGAAGCCCGGTTTGCTGGTGAGCTTGTGAATAGTCTCATAGCTGCAGGACAAAATGTTCCCACGGAGCTGATGGACCTTGCTATGAAGGTTTGTTACATTCTATTCTGACTTTGTTGAACATAGACTGCTTTGCATTTCAGATCAAACGCCAGGTTGAATTGCACTTAATCAAGAACTTCAGACAGGTCTCATTACCCGCATGAGGTTTGATTGTATTCTGCGGGTTTTGTCCACAGAAGGGCGAAATATCCTTTGTTTTTGGTGTTTACAGTATTTCTGGACTTAAACATCTTGAAATTGTACCCGTGCTTTTAGACTTCGTGTTTTACTATATCTATTTATGATCTTTATATAAGCTCTTTCTATTTTTCACCTAATTATTTTTTGCTTGTTTTTCTATTTTACTGCTTCTTAGGATGGTCGTTACCGTGCTCAACGAGAAGGACGGCGTAAGGGTGGGGGAGGAGGCGGTGGTGGTGGTGGTGGTGGTGGTGGTGGAGGTAACTCTTGAACCTCATCGTATAATGCATCAGGGTTTTTGATGTGCAGCATGTTCTGGACTATCCTTTTCATGGACCCAATGTAGAATTTTCTTGGTATTTGCGCTAATTTGGGTTTTGCACGCACAGGGAAAGGGAGAGGGCGTGGTGGAGGGCAGGGGAAAGGTGGACGAGGTGGAGGTCGGAATGTTCGAGGTGTAGACTTTGGCTTAGGAATTGGTTATAGTGCTGATGCTGCAAATGCAGCGCCTAGTGTACCTCAAGAGAAAACACCCAAAGTTCAGTACAAGAAAGAAGATATTCCCTCACGAGGCAGTGCTGTAGATTCTCTGAGACAAGGGATGATGGCTCGATTTAAGAGTAATTTCGTTGCAGCTAATACACCCAACTCTGTAGGCTACACCCCACCTCAAGCCAACACTCCACAAGGGCGTGTTTACGGTGCCCCACCAAGTGTCAACGGGAAGGGTCGCGGAAACTTTGTATCTGCTGGTAGGTTTTCTTTGTTAGTTGCGATTTGAGGGTCTTAATGCTCATATCTCGAATTTTTGATTTTACAGGGTTCAGCTTGTGACCTCCCTATTTACGCTATTCACTTAGGGACTCAATTCTATGATGGCTGCCTGTTAGTGCTGATTTTTACCTTGTGAATCCGTATAGCTGCTTCCAGCTCAGAGCCACTGGAAACTATTTTGTCTTCAAGATGGAAAACAGCACTTGAATGTTGTGATAGCCTCAGTGCATTTTAAATATCTGCATTAAGAGCTGCCTTTGGAGGTTATTCATTTAAGTGGCGTCTAATTAAATAATTAACCTCTTCCGGTTTTTCTTTCTATTTATCCCAGATGTTGTTCACGAGTTTAATACTTCGTCCTTAAGATCCGTCAATCATACTGACTTTACTGTTGCAGGTATTGGTTTTGGGACTCAATCTGGGTCCGGCTTCACATCAGGAAGCTCTTCAGCCCATACATTAGGAGATTTCCAAGGCGGGGAAACAGTTGGGAGGCAAGTTTCAAGTTCAGCTGGATCCACGGGTGGGATTCCTTCTTCTTCAAACAGTCCTTATTCTAGGGAAACATTGAACGCAGGATCTGCTCCAACTGTTGCTGGTACTGCAGGGGGTGAGAGAGCAGGGAATAGGGGAGATGGAGGAAAAGAAAGGGAGAGGTCTAGGTGGGGCAGAGACCGGGATCAGGCTACAAATAACGCAGAGATATCTCGGGACGTGAGCAACTATGAAGACCAGATACCCAGTCATCAGCCTGATAGGTATGTACATAAATTTTATATTTTAGTAATTTATGCAAGCTTTGGACGCATTCTTGGTTGTCTTGGTATGTAGCGTCTATGATAAGTATATTTAATTCTTTTGAATGTGTTCTCGATTACAACCGACGTCCATCATAACGTCATATGTTTAGGTACAGTATCATGGTTGTTTCTGTATGATGTCTTTGCTGTGAGTTATAAGTCATAGTTGAGTACTATCCAGCACCTTTTCATCGAGTACTCTTCTGTCGAAATATTTTCGTTGGAATATAAGCACGGAATAATTATGAATTTGCATGATGTTCACGAATTCATGTCTCTGACTTAGTTATGTGAATTTTGTCTTTCGACTTACGTTCCGAATTCTTTTACAGGGAGAAGGCTAGACAAAGACGACGCCCTTCAGGTTGGGATCGGTAGTGATAGGTGTTACACTTCGGGATTGCAGTGCTCTACCTCAAGGTTTTAGCCAGCTTTAGGATGTTGGACGGCACCTTTGTAGCATGTAGCATGGTTAATTCATGTCTAGTAGGATGGCACTACGGCCCTGCAGCGGTTTGCGCCCCTTCGATCAAGTTCCAGTGACTCAAGAATCAAATACGTAATTCTTGTCCCTCATATGTTGACTTGTAACAAGGTTTCCAAGATCATGAGCTGTTAACTTCAGATTTTAGAGAGTATTGTTGCAGGGGAAGCTTTTATGGATATTTTCGTTGAGTTTTTATGTTGCGTAATTATATTGCTATGATTATGTGACCAGCAACAGGGGTGGTCCTAAATTCGGCTGTTTGGGTTTAGCAGGAAATGTCCCAAGGTTGCATACTTTACATATGTTCTTTGTGCTACTGTAGGGGCTCCTTGGTCTGTTATGACGAATTTAATCCTTCTTTTTTCATTTCCGAAAATTAAACAAATTATGGTTATCGTACTGAATGTTTACCATGACTTATCACTATCACTAAACCGTTCATTGTGAAGACACCATTCGCATCTGATTCGTGCATACTGAATTTCAAGGTAATAACTTCACCCTTCTTGAGGATGTGGTAAAATATATCCCATCCTTTTTTTGCTTGGGTGCACTTAATGTGAGTTTGTAGGGTAATGCCTCAGTTCGATCGTTTGTATGAGGTCATGCTGCTTCTCATTGCACGAATTTGTGTGGCAAGTCTGTCGACGAAAACAATTGTGCACTTACGTCACAGCGAACCATGATGAATCTGAAAATTCTATGAACCACTCCCTCAAGGTTCCTACTCATGTCAGTGATCAGTAGTTTTTTTTTTTTTTTTTTTTTTTTTTTTGGGTTTCTATCGAGTTGGACAAGGTGCCCATGAATGTGTATAACCAGACGTCGCACTTTGCTCCGTGGAATCTGATCGATTTCCCACTCACCTCCCAAGCAAACTGGAACTCGGAGAGTTCAATGTCTTATTCTAATTTCCTTGACGTGTTGGAATTAGTACTTCTCGACAGAAAGAGAGATGGGAGAAAGATGGACCATGACATGTGGGCGAGAGCAGTGATGTAGGTACATTCTTTTACAACTTAAGAGGATTGGTAATTGTTGTGTAGGTGCAAAACCTAATTTTCATTTTGTGACAGCTTGTGTTTTTTGTGTATATTTTCTATTATCAAGAGAATGTGCTTTAGAGTTGAATCCAACATTCTGATACATATATATATATATATATATATATATGAATATTTTGGCCTCTGAATCACTAACATGTAATTCAATCATAGTGTTTTAACTAAGACACATATTATGTACTACCATCAAAGTTTAGATAGCAGTGACACACATTTTTTTAGGAATCAAACAAAGAAGATGGCATTTAGTAAAGATTGTTACTTATTAGTTATTTAAAAAATTCTTTTGAAGACTAAAACAATAAGTAAATAGAAAATAACTATATATTAGAATTAAGTTATAACACATTATTACAAAAGAATAGAAGGATTAAAAAGAGAGACAATGTTTATGTATTCAATTTAGAATTGAAATGTATTGATTTATTTATTTTTAATTGTACATATACAATAAAGATATGTTGTATTAAGCATATTATTTTTCTAATTTTTGGATTTAGTTTTTGGCCAATTTTATATCTAGTAATATTTATATTATTATAATAAAGAAATATTTATATATATAAGAAGTTTTTAAAGCCATATTCCAATTTTGTTAAAGCCACACCTTCTTGGCCATGTTATGATTAATTCAATCCAATGTCACTTTATCTCATGTAATGTGCTTATGACTATGACTCAATGAAGATAAGCTAGATCATCATCCTTTGAATGTGTCTACTCATTTCTTTTGCTTGAGATTCTCTTCATGAGTGCAAAGGATAGCTCCATCCTTTATGTCCAAGGCTCTCCTCAAGAAGTATAAGAAAGATGAGTAAGGATTGTTGCTAAGTTTGTCATTCAATATAGGATGTGTGTAGCTTTCTTCATTGTAGTCACTTCTAATCTTTTGAATGGTGCTTTTTAGAGAGGGAAGGAAGAAACAAAATATTTGATGTTTTTGCTAAAACATTAAGAAAGAGGCTTTAGCAATTCTTATTGCCATTCAGGCATTCCAATAGGTGAACAATTATATTATGATTATAATGCCTACCACATTTAGTATCCTACCAAATATTTCATTGAGATGTTAAATTCGAGCATTGAGTGCTTGTGATTGTTCTAAACACATCAATATCGCCTCTAGCCTTATAAACTTTTGTAATAGTGGTCATTTTGCTAGACACATTACTTTGTCCAAAAAAAATTTATCTCGCTAATATTATTGTTCCAATTTGTTAGCTCTTTTAATTGCACCATATATGGTTGATGGTGCTTCTTACTCATAGGATATGATAGGTTTGCCATGAGCTAGTGGTTCAATTGTAGGATTATTGTGTAATAATCTATCATCCTTGGTCAAAACTTGCAGGCCTTCAAATATTGTATCTCTTTAGCAAGAAATTCCTTCATTTGTAAGTAGAGAGTAAATTACATTATATTGTATTAATAGTTATAAAGACTAAAGTGAGATCTTGAAGTTCTTATTGTTGCTACATTCAATAATTTTCTACTATTGTACAAAGATGTGAGGTTCTAAGATTCATCATTTTCATCATATATTTGACAACCAATGATTGTTGTTCACCTCTTCCCATGTCCATAGGCTGGTATCATAGCAAGTTTGGCATATATTGCATTTCTTGGACGTTCAATAGTTTTTAACTTTGAATCAAGTAATCCTCATTAGAACTTTAGAAGCAACTTGTGAGGCACTTCTTTTACTTAAGTCAAGAATTTCTAACATGAAGGAATTACTTTGTTCCAAGTAGTTTGTATACCAGCTAATTTTCAATCACTCCCACTTCACAAAACTCTGAAAATATATTATTAAATTCAATCTTATTTTGGTAGATTTTTTCCAAAGAGTGCTTTGAATGACTCAAAAAATAGAATTTATTATTGAAGAAAAATAAAAACCACATTATGTTGATAAATTGAACAATCTCTTACAAAAATGCTACATCAAGCTTTATAAATCTAAACCTATACAAACTTTTGATTCTTCCAACAACAAATATATAAACATGTAATCTGTTTGTGAAGTGTAGCATATACATCTATATTCTTTGATAGCCATGGCACTGATATCATAGGTTTAATTACTAAAAATAAATTTTTACATACTTTCATTATGAAACAACAAAATTCAAGTAATTGTGTCAAGTTAACTGCTACATGCAATCAAACTATGCTTATTTCAATCTATAAAGTACTTCTTAAGGTTTATCTTATCATGGATTTTAACTAACCATGAAATTGTACCATCCATGTCAATAATAATATCAATCAATGTCTTCCAACTTTATAAGTAGATGTAAGTTGGGAATTGTATTACAAAGTTGTAATTTGGCATTTCAATATATGAACTCTGACCTTTCATTTAGCCTTGGAGAAGATTCAATGATCTCAACTATACAAAGTTGATGCAAAAACTAAGCTAACCATAATTTTCCATGCAAAAATTCTTCATAAATAATTACATTAAAGTACAATAGTTGTTAAATGTATCAGAAATTGATTCAATTTCAACTCATAAAAAAAGGTTAAAATTTTGCACACCATAAAGAGTTATAAAATAAACCATTTATCTAATTGATGACTTCCATATCCTCTTCATATCACTGGATGTTGAAAAACTCTCTCAAGTTGAACAATTTGGATATTCTAGAATCTTATTTTTTTGCACCAAAGTTTCAATTAGATCAAGTATAAAAAGTAGAAGTGTTCTAATACTAGAAATGTTTAACATTCAACAAAAAGCAAAGCATCTAGATCTTATTGTAGTATGTTCTTTATCCTTAGTATTGTCAGTGAATTACTTCCAACTTGGTGGAGTAAAATGATAGCAATACGAAGCATTTTATCAACAACAATGAAATAATCAAGTATGATATTGCATCAATTGTTGCTTCTTGAAAAAATCTCATTCTTTCTTTACATTGGATAATTTATATTAAATTAATAAGCCTTTAATTATTTTTGATCTTAATAGATATCTTTACAAATATGATCTTCAAAGATAGAGAAGAATTTTTAAGTAACAAATATCAACAACCTTAATTCACTTAATTTTATTTGTGTCTATAAATTCTAATACACAACATCAATTAAAATAGATATGGTGGTATAGAATATGTTCTAATATCATAACTATCTTAGTCCATGTCTTACATTGCCTTTGTTGCTCCTCCACAACTTTAAATAAAGAGGTATCTCTTTTTATAGAGGATTGTGATTAATTGCAATTCAATGCACTAAGAAGATATTTCTTAGTATGTTAGCAATTAGGCTTGTTTGAAGCACAATATTGCTTAGAAATCAATCCTAATAAGATTGATTGTCTCTTTGCTTGTTGACTAGGTTCCAATATATGATATACATCACCCAATTCATTCAATAGTGTTTCTATTACTAGAACTTTTTGTTAGATGGCACAACTAGAAGAAATTGGCAAAGATAGAAGAGGGTCAAGATGCCAATGTGGATGGAAATTAAATAATTGTAGAAAACCATTGATTACAAGATGTCCACATAATAGATGTTTTCATGAAATACTACTTGGTCATAGAAGTATCTACTTAAATCAATCTAAATTTAAATTCTTTCATTTCTAATTTTTGCTTAAAGCTTTGTTTTTCTTATGCTCTACAAATGTTATAAGCTGAAGCCAAATATCATAAAAGTACATTATAGATACTTGAAGCAACTTCTTCATAGCAACATAGCTCCTTTCTATCCTTGATGCATTAATATTTCTAAAATATAAGCACAAAAAGAACCAAGCAATAATAAATCTTTTCTTTGAAGGCAACCAAGTTGTTATTATGTAACTAATAACAATGAAAAACTTGGCATAGTCATGCTTATGTTTTTATCAATTGGATTCAAAAAGATCAATTGGATTCAAAAAGATCAATTATATGACTAACCATGATCTAATTCCAACATTACATGAATTTTTTCCACTCATTTGTAGAAAGCCTTTACGTGCAATTAATAAGAATATTTTTATTATTATATAAAATATAAAAAATATTAATTGACATAGGATTTTTTTATATTACAAATGTAATTATCAATTTCCTATCATTCCTTAATGTAAGTAGTATCACTCTATTATCAAAGAATAACTTAATTTTTTTAATTTCTAAATATAGTTGACTTCTTTTTTATCTTTCAAAAATACAAAACATGATGAAAAATT